TCAAAAGCCTGAATAATTTAAAAATAAATTTCCAAATGTGATTCTCACCTCTAAACTACACCAGTTACCTCCTAAATGGTCTATTTCACTCTTGTTCTTAAAGGGAATGTCCTATCACTAATGATTTTTCCATCAAATTACCATGGCCCCACATGCTCTGACTCCTGACCCTCTGGGACCTGATTTTATTTCCCTCTTTCCACATGTCCTAACCACAGAACAGATCCTAACATTCCTTAGCATTCATGTCTAAAAAGCTGATGTGTACATTTAATAAAATGTAGGTATTGCTTCATAGACATCGAATCATAAGTAGTTCCCTGTTTTCCATTTGTTCTGGGGAATTTAGGAATACTTATTTGTGGTTCTGCTTAACATGATTTCACTTGAATCTTTTCTTCACTGTTAATATCCACTACAATAGAAGTCTTATCAACTCTACTTCCAAAATACATCTTGAATCTGTTCACTTCCTTCCATTTCTCCTGCTACCATTCCAGTCCAAACACTATCATTGCTTACCTGGACCAACTTAACAGCCACCTGTCTCCTTGCTTCCATTCTTGTCTCCCCACAGTACATTCTCCACACTATAGACAAAGATTTTATTACAACACAAATTAGATCCTGTCACTCTCCTCCTTCAAATCCTCCTTTGGCTTCCTATTACAACAGAATAAAATCCAAAATTCCTTCTAGCCTACCTCTCCAAGTTCATCTCCCTCATGCACACTAAAGAGCCACACTGGCCTGACAGTTTTAGAAAAAAAACCAAGGTTGTTACTGCCTTGCAGACCCTGCATTCAAGCATGTTTCTGCCTGGACTACTCTAACCTCAGTTCTTTACAGATTGACCCATCCTCATCATTCAGGGCTGAGCTCAAAAGTCCAAGCTCCAAAAAAAAAAAAAGTCCAATCTACAAGAGACCTTCTCTGACCACTCTGGCTAAAGCAGGTCTATCAAGCACATCACCCTGTTTTCAAGCACACTCTATGAAGCACATCACCCTGTTTTCTTTTCTTTACAGCCCTTATCACTACCTGAAATCTTATTTTTAAAATCTATTTATTTATTGTCTATCTCCCTCCACATGTAGGGACCTTGTCTATCCCATTCACTGTTACACCCCATGCCAAAATAGTTCCCAGCATCACATACATGAAAATAATTACATGCTGAATGAATGACTTCCTGTGGTTTTTGTTCAAATTTGTCTCTGAACAAATGTTCAAGTTTAATAACCTGAATGCTTTATTCCGTTATTCTATGCTTCTTTAAATAAAGCGTATGAACAAAAAGCATTTTATTAACTTCTGAATTCATATCTCTTCTTGTCTTTAAAATATCATGGTAGGGGCACCTGGCTGGCTCAGTCAGTAGAGCATATGATCTTTTTAAAAAAAAA